ATGAAGATCATCATTCTGCTCAACGATACGGCAATTATAGAACATGCCGTATCCGATGCGTGTGTGATTGGTGTCGTCGGCGCCTTGGAATACGACCCAGACTTTCCAAGCCACAAAGCGAATCACCGCCAATGGTTACAGGGTGAGGGTAGATATCGGGAGGTTGTCCGCATAGAGGATTCTGAGATCCTTAAGAAAATTCATCAGACCTATCGACTGCAGTACCTCAAGGATGTTGTGCTTGCTCGCATCTTGGATGATAACACCTTCTCGGTGCTGAACTCGCTGATTTTCTTCAACCAGGTGGATATAGTAACGCATGTCCAGGCCAACTCACCTTTCCTGGGTGAGCTATTTAATATCTTCAAATCTAACCAAGACCTGAACCGGAAAAAGGAGGCTGTCCTTTTCATTCAACAGTGCTGCGCCATCGCCAAGAATCTCCAACCACCAGCTCGACAGACCCTTTACAACAACTTCATCGCTCATGGCCTTCTTCATGTTATCCATTTCGGCCTCAAGCACAGTGATGTCGCGGTTCGCGTTGGCGGAACGGACATTCTAGTGTCCATGATTGACCACGATCCGCACATGATTCGCCAGACAATATATCGTCAAATTCACGAAAAACAACCTCCATTAACTGACACACTCATCGACCTGCTACTTGTCGAGACCGATTTAGGGGTCAAATCGCAGATCTCGGATACTCTGAAGATACTACTCGATCAAGGTCCCCCAATACAGGCCGAGGCTTTTGCGAAGGCTAACGGGGAGTATGCGGCCAGAGCTAGATTACCTCAAGGCCCTGATCCCCAACAAGATCAATTCTTGACCCTTTTCTATGAGAAATCAGCTCTCAAGCTTTTCCAGCCTCTCGTTGCATTGCAAGACCGGACCACTATGGAATTCACTATTGTTGAAGCATCCGCATTCACCTACCTAGTTGAAATCCTATGTTTCTTCATCCGACAGCATCAGCATCGCAGCAAGTTTTTTGTGTTGACCAATAATATTGTCCCACGCATCACTCAGTTACTACAATCGCCGGAGAAGTTTTTGAAACTAGGTTGGTCTGTTTGTCTCAAATCTTTTGTGCTGATTTACTAAATGCGTATAGTTGCCGTCCGTTTTCTCCGCCAACTAGTTGGCTCACAGGATGAATTTTATATCAAGCATTTAGCAGAGAAAGGAGTCCTTGGACCGGTACTCGACCTACTCATCAAAACCATGCCACGCGATAATCTGATAAGTTCTGCTTGTCTGGAACTCTTCGAGCATATTAAAAAAGAAACCATCAAGGAACTCATAAAGCACATGGTGGAGAATTATCGAGAAAAACTGCAAAGTCTTTCATATATGGAGATGTTCAGGACAATGATCGTTAGGTATGATCAAACTTCTGGATTTACAGCCGAGCTGGATTACTTTATAGAGCGCGAAGATGAGACTTCTCGGGATCCTAGGCGTAACCGCCCGCCTCCGCATAGAAACCACATGGAGCATTTGACGATGGACGAAGCCCAGGAGGAATACTGGAACACATCAGATGATGAAGAGGACCTGCAAATGAAACCTGGCGTCCGTGGTTTGTCTACAAATGGCGAGTCGCCAGGTGCCAAACTCTTAGTTGACTATGCCTCGGATGAAGAGCTGGACGAGAATATTGAGGCGGGAGCAATTTCGGGTGACGAGGACAATGCAGAAGAGAGGACCAAGAAAACAGATGAAAACTCGATGACGTCTGTGCCTCCACCGGAACGAGTATCCGAGAAACGTCGCCGGGAGGAAGACGAGGAAGACGATCTCAGTAAAATGGTGCACCATAAGCGTCGAAACAGTACATCAGCGGGGTCCAACGCGTCTGCCAGTACTCCCAACTCGTTGCGAAAGAGAAGAGTGCCACCCGGCGTCCGAGACTTAGGAGGAGGGCCCAAGAAGATTGCCATTAGTCTTTCTAATACAACAAAAGCTGGCGACCTGGGAGGTGATGACTGAATATCCAGACCATCCTCTTCAAGTACCTTTGCATGCATGTCATAACGATTCAGGTTCGACAACAACCATATAATGACGGGACACGAGAACGGCGTTCGGGCGAGGCAGGAACCATTGCAATGGTCTTTGTGAGGGATAGAACCTGGGTTCGCTGAGAAGCAAGGCAATAGGGCTGTGATGGAAAATGAGACAGCTAGCGAAGCTCCTAGCAGGCTTCCCGATGTCTGGGACTCCATCTGGAGCACAGCAAATCGCCTTAGTTGCAGAGATTGAATTAGGCAATGATGTCACCTGTACTATAGAACAACATCGACACTCAAGTCTGCCGGCCTCGGGAAAGCCCGCCAGCATGACAGCCAAGACAGCTGGTCCGTCCGCTTACACAATGAACTTGTGAAAATGAATTCTTCTATACTTCGTGATCGTAGACATTCGATGGCGAATCTCTTATTACTGCCTTGTAAGGTTGACCTGCTGTCTCTCCTGGCCTCTTCATTACGTATGGAAGTCGACATACTCAAGAATAGATGGGATACTCTATAATTGAATTTCGGGTCACGGCGTCCAGGGCAGATTCCATCGCCGGGAAGCCGAGGTTTAATTCGGTATTTTTTGTGGGGGGGCTGACACAAGAGGCAGTCGAGGGGTGAAAGACAGGTGCAAGACGCGGGGAACCAGAATTACTAAGTCGCCCAACATATAAACATTTGTACAACTCTACGAGCTCTTGTAGTATTGTTGTCGGCAGCATTACTCATTGTCTCTCATATTACTCACCCACTAGAATTGAAGAACCCTTTTCTGTAATCTTAACACGTGCCGAACTGAGTCTACAAGTAAATTGACTTATCAATATGTCTCGGTCTCTGACACTCAAGAAAATCGACGGCAAGCCGGGCGAAGTATACTACCCGTATGTAATTTTAGCCTCTTACACTTCAATGTTGCGTTTCCCTTTCTGATATCTGAGCCATTGGATTTCATAAATTCTCACGGAGAAGCGGTGGGGGGTTATTGAAGATGATTAAATCGGAGATACGTATATATACTCACTATCATCCAGCATACAACTCAACCACAACCCTAAACCCGTTGCAGGCCCCGGCGAACTGCTCATCCGCCTCCATGCCGCGGCGCTCAACCACAGGGACCACTTCCAGCGGCAACACCTATATCCCGGCATCTCCTTCGAGCACCCGCTGCTAGCCGATGGGTGCGGCGTCGTCGAGGCCGCGGGTCCCGGCACTAAAGCTTCTTCTCTCATCGGCAAGCGCGTGATCCTGACCCCGTCGCGCGGCTGGGACTCGGACCCCGTCGGACCCGAGCGCACATTCTTCACGACGGGCGCTCACGTCGGCACGAACTGCGGCGCGGCGCAGGACTACGTCGTGGTGCCTGAGTCCGAGGTCGAGATCGCTCCCGACCACCTGTCGACCGCCGAGGCCGCGGCGATACCCATCGTGGGCCTGACGGCGTGGCGAGCCCTCATAACGAAAAGCGGAAATGCGCTTCCGGGTCGCAACATCCTCGTTACGGGAATCGGGGGCGGCGTCGCGCTTACGACGCTGCAGTTCGCTGTAGCACTGGGGTGTAATGTGTACGTGACATCGGGGTCAGCGGCAAAGCTCGAGCGCGCGAAGGGGTTAGGTGCTAAGGGCGGTGTATCATACCGCGAGGCGGACTGGCACAAGAAGTTGGCGGAACTACTCCCAAAGGACAGGCCATTCCTAGACGCCGTAGTAGACGGTGCCGGCGGGGACGTCATAGCGCGCGTCGTGCGTCTGCTGAAGTTCGGAGGTATCATATCTAGCTACGGCATGACGCTGTCGCCCAAGATGGACTGGCTCATGCCGGCCGTCATGAAGAACATCGAGCTGCGCGGCTCGACGATGGGGTCGCGCGTGGAGTTCGCGGACATGATTGCTTTTTTGCGCGAGCATGCTATTCATCCTGTTGTTAGTCGTGTTGTGAAGGGTCTTGATAATTTGAAGGAGATCGAGGAGTTGTATGCTGAGATTCGCGAGGGGAGACAGTTTGGCAAGCTGATTATTGAGATTGCGGCTGATGAGAAGGAGAGCGCGAAGTTGTAGGCTGTAAGGACTTATAAAGGGGTTAGGGATAGTTGTGGTACGGACAGTAGATTTCTTTTCAGTGGTTCTGTGATACATGGCACTGCTAGAAATGGGTTTATTTAAGCTTGCGATATTTTGAGAAGAATTGGTTTTATTAGATCTTCGCGAAATGATAGACCATTGTCCTATACGATTGCATGCGATTTGCTTCTCAACCGTCACAGGTAGATAAATATAAGTGGCCAAACAAGGTTCATGATATCTGTTTTGCGGATTAAAGCTGTCACTACAGCTCCCTATTATCGACAGATATAATAGAAAGGAAACCGGCGACTGAGAAGAGCCGAATACAGTCGGATGCAAGAGTTCCTAACTTGAGCAAAAACCATCTAATTCACACGTGAACGCACAAACGTTGAGATGGGTAGTCATGGTGTACCTGGCGTATCTTAGTTTTTCTGTTTCTCTCATTCTTATTATGTCTCTTTGAAAGAGCGTAGACAGACTATTAGTAGCATGACATTTATACGTGTATGTCGTAGAAAAGTATATCCTAGTGTCCGATGTTGATGATACCTGCTAGCTTTTGCTTTATTTCATTACGATATTTTTACTATATTAGATTATTTTGAGTTGTTCACTCATTGTAGCTAGATAAGAGAGATGTTCTGATAGCACGCAAGAATATTACCCGAAGCATACTACAGCCTCGAACGTACAAAATTACTTGATTTTTAAAAGCTGATGTAAAGAGGCTGTTAAATGGCGTTGCCGTGGGGTGTGCTCACTTACTAAGCTTTACTTACTTACAAACGGGGTCTTCCTAGCAAAAACGAAAGAATAGAAAAGAAATATGCAAGCAAGCATTCTTGTAAACATTTGATGATTGCCGATTAAAAATTGGATTGATGAAAAAAAGGAAAAAGTATGCGACATGTGCAGGATTTGAACCTACGCGACCGAAGTCATGAGATGGCTTAACTCAGATTGAATTCAAGTCTCACCCATTAACCACTCTGGCAACATGCCCGACCGAATACGGAAATTTGTTCCGTTTGCTAGTATAAGACCTAGCCGTTCAAGCTGGCCCCACGCCGGAAAGGTCTTCCAGGATTTTTAACTTTGCACTTGATATTTCGACACTTTCGTAGTAATTGCACCTCACCTTGCTAATAACACCTTGTCTTTTTAGTCTATCTGTTTTGCTCAGTATCTCGCAATATGCAGTCTACGAATACCTGAGCACCCCAATCGGCAAATTCCACCCAACCTGTCCTGACAAAAAAAAAAAAATTTCTCGTGATCTTATTTGTAGGCACCGCGGAATGTCTGCCGTGTGCATGAAGCAAACAAACATAACAAATCCCAGTTCTGCCTAACAAACATCGCCGACCACAGGAACCTGGCATATATGACGGCGTTTCAGAAGCGTCTGACATCGAAGCCGGCAAGATTAAACGAGAGATCCAACGTAAAGACAAGGTTAAATCCACGCTACAAGGAAGCGTGCAAATGACCGTACATGGTTTACTGCATGGTAAAGCGGGAATTCCATGAGGCTTGTGCGGCTGCCGATCCAATAATGCAGGTGGATAGGTTAGGCATTGTGGGAGATCGCCGAAGCGCCCCGCTGCCCCGGGCTTATAAGTACGTGTGGAGGAACCCATGGTCGCCGTCCTTCAAGGTTTCTTGGTGGTGCTTTGCCGCGTGGGATCTCGGCGAGCAAAAATCTACATGCAAAAAAAAATGATGACGATGAAAATAGAAGTTTATGCATGATGCATCTGGATAAGGATCCCGATTATTCAGAGGGCTCCATTTTTAGGGATATCCCCCTTCCTTTTTCTTTTTATGCATGACTTCCCGGGGAACCAATCCTCGTGAAATAGAGGTATGTAGTATGCACTCTGCTACACTTATCTCGATGCAAGGAGATCATACTACCGAACGTTTGGGCAGAACCAAGAACTGTAAACCCCACCGTCTTTGTGTGTGAGTGCCAATATTAATTACCATCACGCAAGCCTACTCCGCACAGGACGCCGTTGGCTTGGGGCGTCATCACGGAATACGGATAACCGGCGATAGGGCAACGCCCCGATTTTGAGAGATATCTGGTTCAATCTCCAAAGATGAAGATGGAATTATTCTGGAAGCTTTTTCTTTAACAAAGACAAGCCAATCGAACTACAATACACCTTTTCTAGAATATTGTACAGTCTTGGCGGGCCGGGCCACAAGTAGTTGAAGCAACTGAAGCCGGATATCACAACGACTGGGGGCATCCAAGGCAATACTGATAAACTGACTAGAAGATATATACCGTATATTCAGCTTATACTATTATCCTCATCCTTTTATTAAGGACTCAGTGATGTTACAGATATATTAGTTGGGCAGTACGGCTGAGAACAACGGCAATTATAGGATTGCCCCGTGCAACATGTCAAGGTAGACTTACTTGGCTTCACGTTCTTGCATGCACATTCGTACAGTAAGTAGACAAGCAGCGTCTTCCCCGAAGCTGAAGCAAGTCGTGTCGAGATTGCAAAGGGAGAGCGCTCGGGGGTCCCGGGGGAAACTAGGATTGAAGTCGGCGACCCTCCTTACTTTAGCACGCACACTAGCCAGCATCCCAGCCAAGAAGCCGGCAAATACAGACAACGCTTATTACCAGTCCATACTCAAGTATTAATTAGCCTTGGCCCTAAACTTCTCTCTCTATCTCTTTCTATCATGCTATAGTCCTTCAACTATTAATTAGTCTCGATTCCGCAAGACGAAGGAGCACGCTTGACCCGAAGGATCCTAAACTACTCTGTAATCGCCCTATTCGCAATGTGGATCCCGCCATGAGGAATAAGACGATTTGCATCCGTCCGTCTTGACCGATGCCCTTGATAATACCGTATTGGTGACGCCGCTCCGGACCTAATTATCGCGCGGTGACCCTGTCAGGCTTATTCGTTATCCACTCATCAACGACGGGGTGTTTTAGTCCCCGAGGCCTACGTGCTAAAGGAGACCTTTACCGATTGAGGATATAATAAGTCAAAAGAGCGGACGGATGAAGTGGGAAAACACTATCATAACTACGAGGAACAACAAAGTGATTATTACTATCCTTCTCCCAAGGTTAGACAACGGGACATCGAAGCGAACAAACGAATCGAAAAGACGGGAAATTTATAGGGAAACAACCTCGATGTCTGACACCTTGCTCTCAGGGGCAGCTTTTGGCGCTGCGCTGGCCGTTACTGGCATGTACGAGCCGGCCGTGATCCTCTCGCAGATGAAGCTTGAAAACTGGCACAGTAAGTGTTTTTTTATATTTACGTCGTTCGATATCATGGCGGGTTTCCAGGCTCGGAAGTGTGTCTTGTTTTCAAAATTCCCATAAACCAACACCCCAGAACTACGACAACTAACTCGCGGCGTTGTAGTGGTACAGACATTCCTGACAGCATCTGCGGCAAGCACGTAAGTAAGGTGATTTTCATCCAACAGGACATAACATTTTGTTCATCATCGAGTTGCATGTTCCCATTGTCTCAGCCCAATATTTTTCGTTTCCCGTATCTTTGAAGGAGACCACAGCCACTCTATTAACAACTCGATGAACAAACCAGGCTCGTCGTCACTCTATGCCAAAAGCTAGGCTACATCCACGTCAGCCCCCGTAGTTACTCATCCCTCGGCCTCTTCGGCCCTCTTGACGGCAACATCATCGGAGGGTATGTGCTCGGCATCGGCATGACCCTTTCTGGCTCTTGCCCAGGGACCGTGTTTGCACAGGTTGGAGCAGGCGTACGCTCCGGTCTCTATACGCTCGGTGGCTCCGTGCTGGGTGGGATTATCTACTCCGGCTACCTTCGATCCGCTCTCGCATCGCTGAAACGGAAAAACTACGAGACGCCCCCGAAACCCGAGAACCTGACCGTCCAAGGTGCCCTCGGTGTGAGCCAGGCCCTAGCCTTCGTAGGCGTTGAGGCCATATTTGCCGGAGTCGTGGCTGCGATATCTGCTCTGGGACTCGTGAAGACGCGGGGTCTCGTTGGACCTATTATCGGCGGCTTCGCAATAGCCGGTGCCCAGCTTTTTTCTGCTCTCACGCGCGGGATGCTACTAGGAACGTCCGCGTCGTTTGAGGAATTTGGAGATTACGTTTCGTGGCTACTAAGGGGCGGTGGTGATGGTAAGCCCAAGTCTTACAACTCTATGGCCTTTGTCACGGGCATGATGATCGGGTCTCTGGCACTGTCCCTGACGAGTTCACTTACCCTGATGCCAGAGGCTGATATTGGCACCGTGAGACTCGTTATTGGAGGTATCTTGATGGCGATTGGCTCAAGGATTGGCGGGGGTTGCACGTCAGGTCACGGCATCACCGGCATCTCGCTGCTATCTGTCTCAAGCTTTGTATCTGTTGCTGCCATGTTTGCCGGCGCATTTAGCACGGCTGCATTGATATAGCGAGAATAACAAATGATTAAGAAAAAAGTTAAACCAGTACGCTATACTACAAAATTTACAGATGTCATTGTACATATTAGGGATTTTGAATGCAAACTCGCTATTTACCTAAAGAGTATTCTAGTTTAGTTCTTTGCAAATTACTATAATACCCAACAAGATCATGAGACGATTCAGCCATGCCTACCACAACCTGCATACGTACCCTACGATTCGGGACCGAGATGGCAATTCGGACAGCCGGGGTTTAGTAAAAATAAAGAAAGCTGGCCGCCAGATGAGAGAAAATAGGTTCAAACTCGGCGACCAGAGGAGAGAAAAAACACACTAAACAAGGCGCCGGTCCTGATCAACCTGTCTAAAAAAGACGGGACTCGGGTCTCGGGCTCCACTATTCCAGGAGAACATCGGCGCTGGAAAAGGCCGGATCCGACGGAGGAAATGGTGCCGTATGCACATGCAATGTAGACCATAAGCCAGATGCCTGTCTGCCTGCCTAGCCGAGTTTCCGAAGCGGATTATCTCGCGGTTTCTATAGGGCAGTTCGAAGGTTAGCTTCTTGATTTACGTTGGCCTGCCTCTCTTTGGTTTACGGGGTAGGTGGTATTTCTGGTGGCGGTGAGGGACGTATGTAAGAGATATATGTGATGTAGGTCATCGTCGTATGCACGACACGACAAGGACAAGGTGGTATGGCGGGCATACTCAAGGTTTTAAAATAAACGCATCTACACTAGTCGCCGACGCCGAGATCTACTACGTATGCCTATCCATCAATGATACCATCAATAAATGCGCACGGTCACCGAGAGGGAGGAGGAAAAGGGGCGGAGGATGGTTTTGTTGGGACGAACGATATGTCGGGAAAAACTGCAATATTACGCCATGCAATGCAATGCCAATAAGTAAGTTAGTGTCAAAGCTGCATCAATGCCACGCACCACGCAACATTGGCTCCGTCCCCTCACCCCGCCCCTCACAAGCGTCTCAAGCGTCCTCCTTCCTCCTCCTAGCCGAGCCCCTGACAGCAGTGACCTCGATCTCGATCTTCATCTCTTCCTTCATAAGCCCCGCGGAAATCATAGTAGCCGCCGGACGAGCGTGTCCAAACCACTTCCTGAGCACTGGCCAGACGCTCGGAAACGCTTCGCGGTCTGGCACCGTGTACGTGACGCGGACAACGTCCTCGATAGAGGCGTTCGCCTCGGCGAGTGCTGCTGCTACGTTTCGCAGGGATTGCTCTGCCTGCTCGACGATGTCGGGAGACAGGGCGCCCGTTTTATAGTCGTAACTGACGCAAGCGAATCAGTGAGACTATCTTAGCTTAGGTAGGTATGCAGTGTTGGGAATTGGGGAATAAATAGGAACTGTAATAGGAGAATAACATGAAGGCATCCCTTGAATTGAAAGTCTGAATTATTGGGACTGTCTAGAAAGACAGATGAGTAACAAACCACCCCCGTGTCTCTTTGCTCTGACCAAGTATCTACTCACCCCGTACATCCTGCCACAAACACAAAATCACCCGTGACGACCGCGCGAGAATATCCAATCTC